TATATTTTCGTTTTTTGCGAATTTCTCGAAGACTTTAAATTCTAAGAAAATCGTAATAATATTCTCGAAAGTGGCTCCCTAAAAGCGTTCTTTAGGCAAAGTGTCAGGATTTTCGATTGTTCCAACCTGGCCAGCCATTCTCGATATTTTCAGTCAGTGAGTCTTAAGATGTAATGATGCGAAACAAGACAAAAGACAGATCCGAGACCTTGTTTTTTAGAACTTAACCATTATTTTGTTGTCTCAGTTTTGCAGTGTTATTTGTTATTAATTGTCATTAATTTTTATTCTATTGTAAATTATTGTTTATTAGTTAGGAAATTGAGCCTTTTTTAATTGAGTATCAAAAGTCAAAGTAATCACTCCAACCAGTCACTGACAGGACACGGAAAATCTAGTAAACCAATCAAAACTTGAAACACATGCAGCTGATGCGAAGGGCAGGAAAACATGTGCGAGCGAATAAGAAAAAGTGGCGCGAGTTTTTTAAGCCAATCGTGTGGTGCAGTGATGCAAAACCAACTTATTTTGGACACTCAAGTGAAAACCGCTCTAAATAGTTTTTAAAATAAAAAAGTTAAGTTTCTTTTCCCGACGTATTATCAGTCATAGCGCAAGGCCCAGCTCCAGGCCCAGGTCCTTCTGATGAAAAACTTGATTATGATGATGCTACTCTCAAAGGTGAGAAAAATAACTGCCAATAAGTTTATTATCTATACAATATTAATTTAACACCAAATAGAACCTGTTTGATTAGTTTTTAGCCTGGCCGACGCGCCCAGCCCCGCGGTCAGCAGATGGGTCGCCGGAGGAAACTCTGGGGTAACAAAAAAAAATAATTTTTTCTTGGCCGTTGACGAAATCAAACGGGCTGGCCATATTGCCGAAGTAAAGCCGAAGTGTACCAAAAAGGTACGATTAAGCATTAACTGTACCTTAATTCGACCAAAAAGCTGACCATATCAGGTCAGTGACTTGATATTTTGTTTATTTTTTCTATCGAAAAAGAATATATCATTAACAGCCTGGTTTAGATGCATAGCTTCTCCAAGCTTCAAAGAACTGTTCGCTTTCACCTATCGTTTCTTCCAGTACATAATAGGGTATCAAGACTGGGCTAGCCTGGCTTCTTGATTACTGTCATAATGATATTAAGTTTAAAATGATAACTACTGCAATGCAAAGTGAAAACCACAGACCGAAAAAAAAAGACTTGAGAAAGTTTTGAATCCCATTTGATTCAGACGTGGTTTTCAGATGAAGAGAGGGCAACTGCAATTCAGTCTAACTATAAAATCTACTAATACATAATTTTAGCTGCGCATAGCTGTGTTACTTTGTAAGAAAATAAAGAACGTAGCTAGTTAGGCCATTACGCACCTGGTGGAACAAAGGGCGGTTACAATGCTGCGCAGCGGACTCTGTTCGCGGCTGTTCGTTTTGCCGTATTCCGGGTGATGTTGGCTTCTTTGAGCTCCTTTTCGACTGACCTCCTCCAGGTTTTCAGTGGTCTTTCTACCTTCCTTTTACCCTGGCGATTCCATTCTAGGGTCATGTTGTATCAGATGTTAGTTTCCTCGATGTGTGGCCAATCCAATTCCATTTGCACCTGGTGATCTCTAGTGGAAAACAGTCTTGCTTTGATCTTGCCCAAAGTTCCCTATTGCTAATTTTCTCTGGCCAGTATATCTTAATGATCCTTCTCAGACATTAATAAGTGAAGATTTGTAGCTTCTTTGATATGGATCTTGTGTCTCTCCAGATCTGTAGAAGAACTGACTTTACATTGGTAGTAAAGATTCTAGCTTGGATCTTGTGGATATTGATGTTGAGTTCCACTGTGGTCTTGGGGTATTAAAGGCCTGCTTGGCTTTGCCTATCCTGTTTTTTACATCTTCATCCGCTCCTCCGTCTGATGTGACGATACTCCCTAAATACGTAAAGCCCTGAACGTCCTCCAGTTCCTCATCTTTCAGCTTGATCTCCCGCTGTTTGCTGTTGGCTCTCATGACTTTG